TCCTTCTCAACCAAAACAAATGCCAAAGGAACTAACTTGTTCGCATCACAGGATATGGCTATAAGAAGTGTGCCCTGGTATTTGCCAATAAAAAATGTACCATCAATAGAGAAGACGAGATGACAGTGCCTAAAGGCCTCGACACACTAAGGGAAGCACCAAAAAGCACGGAAGAATATCTGCCTCCCATCATTCCATGCATTTGGTTTTGGGATGTACTCATAATGTATGCCTGGATTCACCACTTTGATTGCATTAAAAAGTACTGGTAGCTGCTCATACCCATCCTCCTAGTCCCCATATATCATCTTCCACGCTCGCTGCTTAGCCCTCCAAGCTTTACCATAAGTTATCACATAACCTCCATACAACGCCTCAATGGTCCTGATAATTGTCCTAACCTTCATGTTGGGTTCTTCCTGTAATATTCCCATCAACCGCTTGGCAATGAGGGTAGATGTCAACCGCCGATGCTTCAGTGTCAGCACATGGTGAAAGCTCTAATTTGGTTTTTGGTGAATTGATGAAACCCTAAGTGCTAACCTAGTTTATCAAGTGATCATGAGATAGGTAGCACATTCCAAGTGGTGAAGCAAATGAAGATCATGACATGATGATGGTGATGCCATGGTGATGATCAAGTGCTTGGACTTGAAAAGAAGAAAGAGAAAAACAAAAGGCTCAAGGCAAAGGTATAAATGGTAGGAGCTATTTAGTTTTGGTGATCGAGACACTTAGCGAGTGCGATCATATTTAGGATCGATAGTCGTACTATTAAGAGGGGTGAAACTCGTATTGAAATGCGATTATCAAAGTGCCACTAGATGCTCTAACTCAATGTATATGCATTTAGAATCTAGTGGAATGCTAACACCCTTGAAAATGTTTGTGAAAATATGCTAACACATGTGCACAAGGTGATACACTTGGTGGTTGGCATATTTGAGCAAGGGTTAGGAACTTCACCGACAGTGTGTCCGCCCGTAGAGTGTGGACAGTCCAACGGTGTCACAGACGCCCTATACAGAAAAGACGAAGGTCACTGTAAGTGACCGGACATTGGTCTTAGTAGGACCAACGCGTCCGGTCAGAAGAAGCGGCGAAGACGCTGACATCAGTCTCTGACCGAATGCTGGGTCACTTAGTGATCGGACGCTGGAGGGTTACGTCCGGTCCTACTGGCGTGGCAGTGCACAGGGGAGTCGCCGTGTGACCGAACGCTGGGTGTGTCCGGTCGAGCAGGACCGGATGTGTCCGGTTGTGTTTTCTCGCTTCTGGATGCTTATTGGAAACGACCGGACGCTGAGGTCCAGCGTCCGGTCACTTCGCAGCAGCGCGTCCGGTCATCACTTAACCGTTGGGATCGGACGCTCAGTATTTGAAGAGAGGGGACACGTGGCATGCATCGCGCGACCAGACACTGAGGTCCAACGTCCGGTCAATCTGACCGGTGCGTCTGGTCGGCCCGTATTCAGTGCAGTGAGGAGCCCAACGACTCTATTTCGTGGGGGCTTCTATTTAAGCCCCATGGCCGGCTCAAGCTCACTCTCTTGGCCATTTGCATTAACATAGCAACCTTGTGAGTTTTGCCAAAGCCCTCCCAGTCATCTCCATCATTGATTCATCATCTTTGTGAGATTGGGAGAGAATCCAAGTGCATTGCTTGAGTGTTTGCATCTAGAGGCACTTGGTGTTCGTGTTTCGCTGTGGGATTCGCTTGTTACTCTTGGTGGTTACCACCACCTAGACGGCTTGGAGCAGCGAGGATCGTCGAGCGGAGGTTGGTGATTGTCTCCGGCTCCGATCGTGGTGATTGTGAGGGGTTCTTGACCTTTTCTTGACGGAGAGCCAAAAGGTACTCTAGTGAATTGCTCGTGGCTTGTGTGATCCTCATCTTGTGTTGGTTGTGCGGCACCCTATTGAGGGTTTGGCGTGTGATGCCAGTTAGTGCATGAACCTCCAAGTGAGTGAATCGCCACAACGGGGAGCAGCTTGCCGGTAAGCAAGTGAACCTCGGTAAAAAATCATTGTGTTCATTATTTGATTCTGAGATGATTGCTCTTCATTGGTATTCACTCTTGTGATTGATTGGCTCCTTCCTCGACACGGCGGTATAAACAAATTGCTCACTCTCTTTATATTACCATAAACTAGTTGTCAAGCTCTTTAATGTAGCTAGTTGTGAGAGCTTGTTAGTTTAGTTAGTGTGGCTCTTTAGTTAGCCTTTGAGAGCACACTAACTTAGTGTAGTGACATAGCTATTGTGTGGATAGAAACTATATAAACTAGAATTGTGGTAGGTGGCTTGCAGTTTTAGTAGGCTAGCACAATACTTGCTTCGCCTCATAATTGTCTAACCGGTTTGTTAAGTGTTGTTGTATAAATTTTTAATAGGCTATTCACCCCCCTCTAGCCATTAGGACCTTTCACATGGTCAGTACAATTGTGTGGCCCGACAACTTTTGTGATCTTCTACTTTTCGGTGACCTTTTGTTTCTTTGCACAAACCCTCCATGGGCAGCATTTCTTGTCACACACAACTGTGTAACAACGCTCCGCATATGAATGCAATACCTTGTAAGGGCTCTTTCGTATCGCTGCAAACGCCTGCAACCACCTCTTCAATATAGGGAGGTCCTTGAACATCCTCCCATTCTCAACTACCATGTTAGGGCCGGCCTCAGGAACTTCTAGGAGCTCATCATCACGTCCTTCTGTACACGCCTGATCGGAATGGGCAAGATCGCTGAACTCGTAAACTCTTAGATCACGGCGGTCGGGAAAGATACGTCTTAGCATCTTAACATCACTCTATGTCAGATCTCCAATAGGGCGATCACCATCAGAATTAAGAGCTCTTGCCATCTCATATGGCTCCAAATCATTTATAATTTCAATACTATTGGAGCCATGGAATCCATCTCCACAGTGCACTTGCACAACAACAGCGGGCACATCCACATTGTCAGGAAGGTCTCCTGCAACATAAGTAGAGAAATGAGAAAAGAATGAAAGAAATATATGTAAGAAAGGGGGTAAGCTCCCAATAACCATGCGGATAAGACACTTACTCGGATGATTCTATGTCAAATGGATCTCATGAGGAGGATCTGCCACAACATCATGAGTCTAACAAGCATCTCCAACTACCTCAATGGAGGTAGATTGAGCTTCTAGAACCGTAGGTGCAACCTCCACATCCATATCAGGTTCTGGGACGGGAGGGTCGAAGTGTGCCTGCTGACTCATTGGTGGGGAAAACCCATGAGGGATGGGATCAACTAATACCTGACGCACAACCACGTCTAAACATTACAGCTGACTCTTCATAGCCGATCTCACATAGTTCTCCCACTGATTTGCACACCCAATTGGGATAATTCGCCTAAGGATGTTGGGAGAAGAACCTAGGTGCAGTACACCCTCAACTGCAATGCTATCATCATCATCTTCAAGGCAATGCAGATCCTCCCGAGCCCTTGCAACCATCTCACTAAATGAATGCTTATCATTGAATAGCACATACACGTTTTGCATGTCAAAAAACTCAACATATCCATAGCGATCGCATTCAACGGTGCCTCCATGATATATGGTCACTAGGTTGTCCATCTAGTTCAAACACATAACAAAACACACATCGTTTAGTCCAAATTAGACGATAGATAGTACATAACAAGTACTTTCTAACTACAAACTAAGTAAATAAGATAATAACTACGTATATATACAGTGTACTCACAAAATATCTATGTCTATGTATCTATGTATCTATGTTTATATCTATCTACATATCTAACTATATCTATGTACCTATGTATCTATGTTTTTATCTATCTATATATCTATCTCACTAGATCACTAACAAAATCAACTACCTGAGTCATCACATTAACTAGTAAATAACAAATAATCGAACTATTACATTACAAACAAAGCTAACTAAGTACCTACATTATATATTCACAATTTTTACCTGGCGCGGCCAGGCGCTGCAGGGCCCGGGGACGACGTGGGCGCGGGCGTGGGCGGGGACGGCCGCCGAGGCCGCGGGCCCGGGCAGGGGGGGCGGTGGCCGACGTGGGCGGGGACGTCCAGGGCAACGCGCGGCGGCGACGGGCGTGGCGGTTCGGCAGCGGTGACGGCTCGGTAGAGAGAAAGAGAGAGGAAGAGAGAAAGGAAGGGAGGGTTCATACGTAAGAGAGGACTTGGCGCTAGAATTGTTGGCGCTAGGATTGTTGCCAAGATCCATGGCGCCGAGCTGGCTACCATGTCAGCGTCCACGCCGCCAACGTGGTCCCGACCTCGGCGCCAGCAACGATGGCGCTGAGAAGTGTAAGCTCGGCGCCAGCAATGATGACGCCGAGCTAAGGGTCAAGATTTTGAAATCGTACCTCCAGGGACATATTTGTGATTTTTTTTCAAAAAAAGGCTAAAAATAAAAAATTCGGTGAGCGGGCGTGGCCGCGCCGGCCTGCGTGGGACGGGGCGCCGAACCGGTCGGCGGGGTAGGGCGCATGGCCGGCCGGGAGCGGCGACGGTGGTCGGGGCGGGGGACGGCGAGGACGAGCGGCGTCGGCGGCGGGAGGTGTCGGGCGCAAGAGAGATTGGGAGAGAAAGGAAGAGAGGAAAAGGAAGGAAGGAAGAGAGAAAGAAAACAGACCCACCTGTAAGACCGGCTCGACGCTAGGATCTTTGGCGCCAAGCTCGACGCCAAGATCTACGGAGCCAAGCTTGGCGCCAAGATCCACGGCGCCGAGCTTATGTCACCCCCGGCTCTACTTTGATGCCGATGTGGCTCCTGACCTAGGCATCAAACTCTTTGGCGTCGAGACGTAGGGTGCAGATTTTTAAAACATACCTCCAAGAGCATATTTGTAAAAAACTTTCAAAAAAAAAAAGGGCCAAAAAAAAAAATTTCGGGAAACTCGCTCGCTCCCCCAGTCGTCGGCGCTCGCTCCGCTCCCCTCCGCCGCGGCGACCTTCAAGGCGACGAGACGATGCTGCGGCTCTTCCGCTTCCTCCCCTCCGCCTCCAGGTGAGCCGCGGCCCTCAAGCCTAACTCTATGGCTCCCCACACCTCGCTTCCCGGAGCGGCCGCCGCCGCGGTGCCATTCGTCTATCCGTGTGTATAATTTCCGGGCGCGATGTTCGGCGCACTCGGAGCCATTCGGGTGGGTTTTCGACCGGGTGAGCCGGCGCGCGTACTGTACTGCTGTGCCTGCTGCTGTAGTCAGGGTGGCCCAGGGTTTTAGGTGGGGGTTTTAGGGTTTATGCACAGGCGTGTCGTTCCTGTTGACCTCGCTTCCACAGACGATGTGTTTTCTGGTAGTTGCAGATTTCGCTGTAAAAGAGGATTCCCCCGTTTCCCTTGCGCGTGCAGATTGCACATTCCTGTGCGATTTTCTGCGGTGCTGAATGATCACAGGACTTTGCTGGCTGTCGTGAATGAACATTACTTATTTCCCCCTTGTAGTGAGTGGAGTTATTGTTCAGTAATATTAGTAGTATCCAGTGTTCAGGATGTGATTGCCTGTGTCCCTAGTTTAAATCAATTTGCCTGAAGTGTAATGTGTCGATTAGTTGATGTGCCTAATGCCTTGAATGAAGAGTTAATCTTGTTAGGCAAAATGGCAAATCATTAAGATCAAACTTGCCGCTACGAATAACTTATTTAGGATTGGACTTGACGCTGCTATGTAATTACGAGAATACAAGTCATGCTGAAAAATAGCTGTTTTATACACTGATGACCATTTCTGTTATTTTTCAGCTTTGATATGTTTGTGTAGCTCCCATTTTAGATTTTACACCCAATGCCCACTGTTCACTGCTCTATGATTAACGTCATGCAAAGGTCTTAGTTTTTATAAAATATCAGTGAACCTTTGAGATTTCATATTCAAGCCATTCTTTTTTCTGTGGTATTTTCTGCAGTTCAATCTATGTATCAATTAGTTAAATGTCTATTTTAAGTTATTAAAGCTTGTTTTCCTTTCACAGGAGGGGTTTTGATCTAAAAGAATCTCTTTGGAGTGGTTCATTGACATTCCAACAAGCTGTTTCAACTTCAGCAGCAAATCTTGATGGTGAATTCTTTGTTTCGTTCTTTTATTAAACAACCTTCCATGCTGAATGCTAACCTCAGTATTGATGTTTGCTTAATCCCTTTATAAGCAGAGAACTTGTCTGGCAAAAAGTATGCAAGCTATACCGTGTTCAAGGGAAAGGCTGCACTTTCTATACATCCTATACTGCCAAGTTTCAGCAAATTAGAAGTATGTTTCCTTTTAGATTTGATTGTTTTTTGGCCATACATCGTTCTTCCTACACATCATAATTTCTCTGTTTTATTAGTCCGGAGGATCTCGAGTGAGCAGAAATGGATCAGTAATGTTGACCTTCTTTCCTGCTGTTGGACAAAGGAAGTATGACTATACAAAGAAACAGGTAGCCATTATTTCTTGTGCAGTTTAATTGCTCGTGAATATAATATTCTGAATATAAGACCTATTAGTATTTTTTGCCAACCACATGTGCCTTGATTTTATGATTGTGGAATATCTGTTATGTAGCTCTTTGCCCTGTCACCTACTGAAGTTGGAAGCTTGATAAGTCTTGGGCCTGCTGAATCCTGTGAATTTTTCCATGACCCATCCATGAAATCAAGGTTTGTGGTGGTACTGCATGAGCACAAAAGATCAGACAGAACTTATGTTTGCGTATATCATTCTAACTCCACTCTTTTTGTGCATCAAGTAATGAAGGAATGGTGAAAAAATCGCTGTCGATCACTCCACTTGGCAGTGACAGTGGATACTTTGTTAATATAAGTAAGTGGCTGTCCTATTTCATTTTGGGTTCAACTGCCTGTTTTTGTGATTGTTAGGTATTTGATCTACCAAATATTGAGCACTGCTGCTAGCCTAAAAACTTTATCAGAAAGGACATATGAGAATCTTGTGAATACTGTTGAGGCATTGCCCATTGATCAGATAGTCTCTTGTATTAAGTTTGAGCTTTTGCCACTGTTAAAGCAGCTTCCTGAAATGAAAAAGGAAATGCTTCAAGCTATAGCTAGTTAGCACTTACCATTATAGTGTGACATCAATGTCCTTTTATCTGATATGTTCCGTTGTACCTGGTTTAAACTTTCTTTTTCTACTGATTGGTTCTCCTCGGAAATGCACCAATTTTCTTTTCTTTTGCAGCTGTTGTGAACAGTGTAGAGAAGACTAATGATCGCCTTTCAGTCCCTGTCACAAAAGCTGAGTTTTCTGTGATGCGCACAGCTCTGAGTGTAAGTTTCACTGTTTCCATTTGTTATCGACCAATGTTACCAGAACCATAAAAAATATATCAGCATTGCCATGAAGTTCATCCGTGTCATTGTTTTCAGGCATATGGAATTTTCAATGCTACTGAGCTTTACGTTGTTGAAAATGATTGGTGTGTGCCTATGAGTCATGAATGCCTCGACACTTGCACATAACCATTATTGTTCATTAAGGCCCCGTTCGTTTTATCAGGAATGAGTGCCAGGAAGAGTTCCCCTCCAGAATTGCTATTTAATCTGTATAAGCTTTCAGTAGCCGGAATAATTCCTGGTGTGGTTTTGCCTTAACCGAATGAGGCCTAATTGAATTGCTTACTTTCTAGTAGGAGTATATATTGGATAGTGCTCTATTTATTACTTTCTGACTGCCTGGCCTTTTGTATTCATGCAGTTTGCATTGCCGCACATCATGGGTTGGGATCAGGCTTTAACCAATCACCATCCAGCTCCTCCAGCTATCAGCAAGCCCAGGGTAGAGCGTCCACACCCGGATTCTGAATGGGAAAGGTGAAGCTTCCTTGTAGCGGCTAGATGATGGAGGCTTTTGGGCATCAGTAGACGTTGCTGCTGCGAAGTATGGAGCATTGGTGTGCTTGAACAATGTCTTAGGACACTGTCTGCCGTTTGCATTAGATTTCTGGAACTTAAAGACTTAAGGCCAGATGAAGCACGATGAACCATTGTGTTTGTTCAGTGCATGTATAACTCTACCACGCCTACTAAACGCATATTTCTAGTCGAGTTAGCTGTTTTATTTTACGCGTGCTTGTGAACGACGTTTGTGCTTGGTACGCATCAATTGAGCTTGATGCTATGTCATCTAGAAAAGATGGACGTTGTGTCGTTGTCTGTATGCATTTGAACATGTTTAAGTCAGTCTAAGTACGTGAGCTCAGTCTGCCACACCCGGATGCATTAAGAGAAAATTTTAAATTAAGTACAAAACACAAGCATTATTAAACAGCCAACTGCAAAACGGCAGTGTACCATATTCCTCTTATCCAACACTATACATAAGGGTACACTGAAGAGTCTAGGCTCCACATAAATACTCTAGCGATAAAACGTCTCTGGTATGAACTGAGCGGCAAGGATATCTGCAATTAGAACCCGGTAAGCTGGCACATAAGTTTACAATCCAGCAGAAGGTGATGATGCCACAGAAGTCTACAATCCAGCAGAGACCAATCCATGCAATGTGATGATGCCACACACGATGTTGTTCTCGTTGACAACAGGCAAGAACTGTACAGGTGAAGGTGGTGACTCCATCTTCTCCATGGCTTCAACTGCCATTGCCTCCGCAGTGATTGTTCTTGGATTCCTGTTAGATAGTGCAGGGAAGTTAGACAAGACTCAGCATCTGGCTTATACTAGGAACAAGTTCCACTAACACAATGAAAGATACGACGCCACAAATATATGGAACTGAGCATTATCTACACAAAACAATTGGATATTGAACACCAAAGGCATTTATTTTCATTGAATGTCACAATGAACAGACGAATATGCAGCCTGGTATATCGACTTGAAAGATCAGAAAAGCAGGAGAGATGTTCCGAATCCAGTTTGATAATGAGACGGAATTTTCTTTCTTTGATAGTGTATCTTACATCAAAGCTTCAACACACAAACAAAGTTCATATGAGAAATTAACAGAACCGAGCAATGAAAACCAACTCTTGAAAAAACAAAACGGAGGTAGTAAGAAAACTACTTATTCTCACTCAAAACTGTTTATCACAGTATTGTATATTGAAGTATATTGATGCTGACAAAACAAATGTTTATTCTCAATAAAACACAATGTAGCTATATACATATACAGTTCTGCAAAAACAATGAACCCCAGAGCTATATAATGCATAATAAACATTTAGCATATTATATTCAATTTCATTTATTAGCATGATGTATCGAGGATAGGCAACTCGGCTATTTTAGGGAGACAGAGAGACTTGTGTTTTTCATAGTACAGCTACTACTGCAATCTGTAAAGGTTAATACATGCGGATTTATATGGTTTATAAAACAACAATACTTCAGAAATTGGATGTAAACAAAAGATGGAAAGAACAAAAAAAGTACTGCTTGTACTTTGCCATTTCCAAATTCCAGATGTACTGAAAAGATCTCAGTATCCTACAAATACCGCTGTACTTACGAGAGAAGGAATTCATACAGGCCAGGTAATATATAGCAAGTTAATGTTGACAAACCTGTTGCACATCTCTCCAACTGTGAGACTAAAGATAGCTGGCCCGCTTGCCTTCAGTGTCCGCCGGAGATCACCATCAGTGAAGGTCCCAATCAAATGATGCTCTTCATCAACCACAAGCAGACAACCACAACCTTTACTGGTGAGCTCGGTGAGTTGCTCCATTATCATATCTCCCTCCTTGCACAGAGGAAGTTCATTCTGTTTCTTCATAACATCCTTAACCTGCAAGGTATTTGTGTAAGAACAAAGAGTCTAAAAGACACCTCACCTATAGAAACAAGAAAATGACACACATGCTGATGCTGGATCAATAACAACACCCACAGAAATCAGATAACTGGGACAACAAGATCTAAGCTTGTTTTCATTTTCAGTAACTACTTTGCATATGAACAAGGCTAAGGCTTCATTCAAATATGTCATGTCATGAACAGCTGGCCTTACACATCACCCAGAGCTACGTAGATTGTTAATAACTGCCACTATTAGACATTCGATAATACACACAAATGGTTAGGAACTTTTTTTGTTTTCTTTTTCTTGCAACAGAGAAAAAATGGCATGTGCATATAAAAAGGACCGCGGCAGGTAACCATAAACAGAAAAAATATGTCGGTTGGATGGTGACAAAATTATCCAATCATAAAGCGCATTTCACCAGGGCTATTTATTGGACCAATCCTACCGACACTGACACGCAACGACACCGACACACAACGGTAAAGGAATCCTAGTAGTAATAAGCATCTGGGATCTTATGTCTCCCACCAGGTGGCAGCACAAGATATTGCACATGCTGATTTAACAACAACAGCCCCACAGAAATCAGATGGTTGAAGAGACAAGATCTACTCTTGTTTTAGAATTCAGTAACTACTTTGCAGATGAACAAAACAAAACATTCATTCAAATGTGACAAGTTATGCACACCCGTGACCGATTCATCATCCTCTGCTATGACATTTGTAGATAGCGGCCACAATTAAACAATCAACAATGCACACAAATGATGAGGCACTTTGTTGTATTTTTCTTCTTTGCTTTGAGAGCTTGTTGTATCCTTCTTGAGACAATGAAAAGACTGCGAAAACGACAAGTAATAAGATCTCCTCCATATGCACAAAAAAGAACATGATAGGTAGCCACAAACAGAAACAAAATGTCGGTTGGATAGCGACAAGACTATCGAATCATAACGAGCGTTTAACCAAGGCAATTTTGAACCGATCCCACCGCCACCGACACGCAACGGTGAAGGAATCCTAGCAGTGATAAAGCGTCTGGGTGTCTGGGATCTGATGTCTCACACCGGGTGTCGGCACAAGGTAATTGAGCGTTTCTAAAAAAACAAGTAACTGTAATGCCAGCAGCCTGTTTATGTTAGGGTTAGAGGTGATTGATTCACCTTGAAGATGAGGGTCTTGCCGATCTTGCCAGCGGGATGGTTGGAGGCGTACTGGTCCCTGGAGAGTCGCCTTGCCTCCATGATGGCGGCGATGACGGTGTCCCCAAACACCATCTGGATGGCGGTGGAGGTGACGGGCGCGAGACCGAAGGGGCAGACCTCCCCCTGCAGCGGCAGGTGGACGTTGAGGTCGCAGGCCGCGGCGAGCGGGCAGTCCGCCCCCGAGGCCGCGGAGGTGAGCGAGATAAGGTAGGCGCCCTTGGCGCGCGCGCAGGGCGCGAGCGCGAGCAGCTCGTCGGAGGCGCCGGACTTGGAGAGGAGCACGAGGACGTCCCCGGGGAAGAGCGCGCCGATGTCGCCGTGCAGCGCGTCGACGGGGGCGAGGAACCCTGCCCGCGCGAAGCCCAGCGACGCCAGCGTCTGCGCGATCTTGCGCGCCACGATGCCCGACTTGCCGACGCCCGTGAAGAAGACGGCGCCCGGCGCGTCCAGCAGCGCCTGCGCGAACGCCGCCGCCTGCGACATGTCGAGGCGGTCGAAGAAGTGGTCCAGGTGCCGGCGCTGCGCGGAGAAGAGCGGCGCCAGGTCCGACGCCGACACCGTGGCGCGCCCCTGCGGGGGGGCGCATTCCGCCGGGGCCGGCACCGGGAGGGAGCCCATGGGCGGCGAGGGCGCGGGGTGCGCGGGGGCGTTCGAGGAAATGCCGCGGTGAGAGGGCGGGTTGCGGGCGAGGTTCGTTCCTTGCGATCTGGGGAGACGCGGGCACGCAGGCCAAACGGGGGAGGGGAGGAGGGAGCACGAGCACGAGGCGTGCGAGTGCGACGCAGCAACGGAAACAGGGAATGCCGGATGTGTGGAGGCTGCTCGGTCATTAGTTGGTGATGATGATTGATGTGTCATGGTTCTTGTACTTTTACGAACAATAAACACCCTGTTTGCTGGCTTATAAACCGCAGCCAATAAATAGTATTTTTCTCTCACGACAAATTAACCAACAATATTTTTAGTCATGGTTTATCGGCCAGACGAACAGTGCAAAAGAGGGGGTAAATTTAAAATTCTACGAGGAGAAATGGATAATCGGGAGTTTGGCTTTTAGATATACATTTTTAAAAACAATATATCTATTTTCCCACCAAGATCCTTTTTGGGGATTGAGGTACACCTATACTACTTTTAAATACGATGGAATACACTATGGGTCTTTATTTTTTCCTACATTCTCATTTACCTTTATAAACTCCCGAAATGATCATATAGCTCCTTCAGCGACAACCTAAATGTTTTATTTTGTACACCATAAAAAATAGCTTCACCCATCAACCCAGCCCTAATAAGACATCATTTTTTTATTTAAAAAAGAACTTGTTTGGGAAAAGTTTGAGGTGTCGCCTGTTCGCTTGAATTTATCAGTCTGGCTTATCAGCCATGGTCAACAAATTAGCTTCAGCTGATTTATTAGCTGCAGAAGCATCAGCCGGACAGCTTTAGGCCCTGTTTGGTTGGGCTTTTGGCTTTGGCTTTTGGCCCCAAAAGCCAAAAGCCCAACCAAAGGGGCTGCTTTTGGAGGGTGCTTTTTCAGAAGCAGCTGCTTTTCCGTAGTTCATTTTTGAAAGCTGGGTTGACCCTGCTTTTGGCTTTTGGCTTTCTGCTTTTCGAAATTGATGGAATAAAAAGCTCTTCCATAGTTGTTTCAAGAGAGATAAAGATAAAAGGTATATTTTATACTTGTTTAACCAAACAGCTTTCAGCTTTTCTACAGCTCACAGCCCACAGCAGCTTTTCCACAGCTCACAGCCCACAGCAGCTTTTTCCCATAGCCACAGCTCAACCAAACAGGGCCTTAGATTTTTACTGACTAGTACATTGTAAAATATTGATCGTTTTTAGCTTTGTTCTCCTACGGCTTGTACTAATCTTATATTTTAAAAAAATGCACCGAAATATGTGAACATCAAATTAGTTTGGCTCGACCCATCATGAGATATGGCTTGATATCGCAATTGTCTTGGACTAGAGGCCGGGCCGGGACTGGAGCAATGATGCAGCGCTAGACGCAGACGCCTAGATCGATGGTGACTAACGTGTGGTGATGAGCGAGCGAGCCAACGGTGCGGTACATGAGAGGGAGAGGCACTCGCTCGCTCGTTGCACTCATCATGCATAATGGGATGGCCGGTCGGTCACTCGTGCTGCCGGGGCTTGCTTTCCAGTGAGGACGTACGTCAACGAGACAAACACAGGTGGCCTGGGCGCCGCATGCAGACAGCGAGCACGGCGTTGGACCTTGGTGCTTCTGCACCGGCCGCCGAGCGCTCAACTTGCACTGGATCATTGGATGGATGCGTGCACGCCGGATCTGAGCTGCCGCGTTGGTTGGCGTTCCAATTCAAGTCGATCTGTGTGCGCGGTGCGGTGCGCCTGCAGTTCCAAGCCCAGTGGACGTGGAGCTCCTCGTGCTCAGACTGGTGATGACGCACTTGCCGATGGACCACGACAGAAAGAGGAGGACGAACCAGCAGGCAACCAGGAGTGGAAACTGCCGGGCCAGAAGCATCCAGGGAAGTGGTCACTCCCTCCGTGCTGCACCGCCTGCATGGGACTGGGAGGAAAGTTCCTACGGGCTTCTGCATCTGCCTTGCCGGTTGCCGCGCCGGACGTGAATACGTGACGTGCACCATGGGCCAAAAATGCATGCGCCGCGCGTTACGCGTGGAAAGGGACAGCGGATGAGGACGTGCGTGGAGTGCTCCATTCAGAAGCACTGGATGAGAAGTTCGAGGCCCTCCGTAAAGGAGGCACTGTGAGCGTTCGCAGCGCGTGCTGTACATGGACAGGCGTGCAAAGGACGCGCGGGAGCGGGAGCTCGCAGCGCGCGTGCTTTGTCGTGCTCCCGGCTCCCGCTGTTGTTTGGGGAACTAGGGCGCCGCAAGCCCGCAACGCTAGGGCCGCTTGCGTATGTGATCCCGTGCCGCGGGAACGTGACGGACGTGTTGGGCTTGGCCTGCCGCGCGTGCCCGGCGTGGGCGTGCAGGCAGAGACGGTGCCGCCCGTGGAGACTTGGCTGACGCGCACGCTCGCCCTGGACGACGCGTTGAGCTCCCGCTCCCGCTGTCAGAGCAACACCAACAGAGTCATGCAGTCCAAATTTGACTGTTTTAGAAGAAAACAGGAGTCCAACAGATGCTCTATCTTGTAGTCTAAAATAGCATGCTGTCCATTCCGCATATTTCGCTCGCTACAGAAAGCAAGCCAGGGGCGCTCGCCATCACCTCCCTGCGCGCGATTCTCGCATGCAGCTTGCCCTCCCTGCGCACGCGCCGAGCGATGGATGTTCTCTGCTCCTTTCCTGTGGCGCACTCGGACTCCGCACACCAAAGGGGCGCTTGGCTGGAGGTACCAGGGTCGGCTCCGGCAAGGCCACCGGCGGTGGCGCACGGCGCTCAGCGCAGACGGGTACGTGCGTGGCTTCCGCGCAGCCGGTGGCGGTGTGCCTGCCGGCACGGCACTAGCCCGCCCCGGCACGGCACGCCTGGGCATGGCACGCTAGGCACGGCTGATGAACCGCGCCGTGCCGTGTCGTGCCACTGTGTCCGACTCCAGGCCCAGGCACGGCACTATCATTCCTGGAGCGTGCCGTGTCGTGCCATGCCGACTCCAGGCTCAGTGTGTCCGTGCCGGCCTAGGCACTAAACTGGCAAAACCCCTCAATAAATTCAGCACAACAATTTAAAGAGATCTAAAATGACTAAGTTCACAAAAGATCAAAAGCAGGGTTAGGTTGGGGATTAGGGTTTAGGTTAGGGTTAGGGTTAGGGTTTACCCTTACCTCTACGGCTGGAGCCCCGTAAACGATGACGATGAGACGGGCCGATTGCACACCCCCGGTACCTCAACGGAGACCGGAGCCCCGGAGGTGGCGGCAGCCAGCGATGTGGACGACGGACAGATGACGGAGATGTGGCGAGGATGCCGAGAAAGAGGCTCAATCGACGTTCAGGGATGAAGAATAAGGGAACAGATGGAGATTGAGGACGGGAACCATCGGATCTGAGGGAGAAGAGGGAGATTGAGGGCGGAGAGGGAGAAGAGGGAACCACCAGCCACCGGAACTGACCCCTTACCCGCCGGAAGACTCCATGGTGACGGCGTCGAGGAGCCCAGGTTACGAGTGCGGCGAAGAGCAGCGAGCAGGCGAGCGACAGAGTGAGCGGGGAGAACCGGAGAGGAGTGGGCGAGAGGCTAGGGTTATGAGTGAGGGGAGTGGGGAGAGCGGCCGCATCGGGCGGCTTATATACCGGACCCCCGGCGATCCAACGGCTCACGCCCCGCCTCCGCGATCCGACGGCTGCGAGCCGTGCCTACCCCGTGCCGCCCGTTGAAACAGGCCGTGCCTGGGCCGGCACTACGGGACGACCTTTCGGCCTAGGCACGGGCACGGCTATGGGCCGGGCCAGGCACGGGCGAGGCCGGGCCGTACCGGGCTAGGGACGTGCTTTTTCGCACCGGGCCCGTGCCAGCCCGTTTCGTGCGGCCCGTTTGGAAATTTATAATGCATAGGGTGCAAAAATGGCAGCGGAGTCTGAGCGATGGGTAGCTTCAGGGGCCGTGGCGCAGCTGCTTGCAGGGAAGGTGAGTGGCACATAGTTGTGGAGCAGCGTGCGAGAGGTAGAAGAAGATTCAGACAAAACTGTGGCAGCTTTTTTTTAATATGGAGAGTCTTAACTTTTAGATAGTAGTCTAGTTTTTTAAACCAAGATTCATTTTAGAAAATAGCCAAATCACTAAATTTGGATTAGCCATTTTGGCTAACCTCTTATAGATGCTTACGGAGCCTAAAATTTTTCCTCGACTCCATCGCCCAGGGATACATAGGAGCTCCCTACGTTTTCTTGAGAAAATCTACTTTTTCTTGGGAAGTATTTTTTCTGCAACAACTCCTAAACTTCTTTTTTTCTTTTCTTGACTCTCTCCCAAGCCGCTATCCTATTCCCCTTCTCCGGCGCTGCTCCCCTCTTGGCACCCATCCCCGGCTCACAGACGTTTGTCGTATCCTAAGGCTCATTCAATGTGCCTCCTATCTTCTTGGCTAGCACTACTACAGAAACGATTTTGTGAGGCACTGCCCAAACATTAACCGAGGCGGTCACAAAATCTAATACCTAGTGATTAACAGAGGCGGTTGTATTTATTTACAGAGGCGGTCAGAAAATACCCACCTCCAAAAATGTATTTTGTGGAGGCGGTCATCTTAAGGTATCCGCCTCCATAAATTGATTTTCGGAGGCGGGCACACTATAAGGCCCGCCTAGGAAAATCCTGGCCTAGCTCCAAGCCTAGCAGAGCCCGTATCCAATCCTCCTGTATCGGGCTTATATATATTCGGTTAGGGTTTCACCTCTCCCTCACTTCTCTCTCTCAGTCACACTTCTCCCTCAGCGCCTCTCCCTTCCTCGCACGTCTCTCCATCCGACCATCCATCTCCCTCGCATGTCCTGTCGATGAAATACGTCTGGCAGTCTACCGAGGGGTATGCTCACGGTAGTAGATGAATCGGTGGAGGTGCGCGTGAGGGAACCGGATGGTGATACAGAACGCAAGAGACAACGATTAGGCAGGTTCGGGCCGTTAGCTTGACGTAATACCCTACGTCCTGTGTC